ATTTCGTTGAAGATGATGAAGGATATGGCAAAATGCCTGACCTTCCTTGAAATTCTCATATGCCCTGTGACCCAAGGGCACTCGTGGCAATGTGGCCGAGTGGCCAACGTGTCAAGCTTCGATTCTGCACTGTCACAGTTCGACTCCCGCTGGAGGTGTTGATAAGACCAATTCGAGGTCGAAACTGCACTCCGCTGATGCCTGGATGAGAACAACTTTTGGGAAAGCAAAGCTATTCGAAATGCAATGGAAACGTCAGCTCTAATCATATCATTGTTGTAAAATTCTTTTACTAATCCTTCGACAACTTAAACGAAATTGGGTGAATACATCTCATACCACTGAGTTACTAGTAGTCTCGAAACTCTACTCAAACACGAGAAAAAAAATTAAATAGCCTTTGGATAAAATTGGTCTACAAGCTTGGTCCACACTCTTCTTTTGGTGTTCATTATTGTTTTTATTTACATACTTTTTTGGGCGCTGGGCTCCAGCATGCTTTTCATTTTGTCTAATTATACTTGAATTTAGTCCTTTCCCCGTCCCGATTTTGCGTACCGTTTCTTTTTTCCTGTTATCCTCTAGATTTTATCCACAAGGTTAACTATCTTACCCTCCATTCATTTGAGCAGTCGTTTTTTGGCGTTCTTAAAGTCTTGAGTTCATCACTTCTTGACTATTTAGACAAATGTTTTTAAATAGGCCGGTTCCATTCTATTTGATATTTTTTCTCATGGCGTCTAAGTCCCTTTGGTCTTTCGATTCTTACCACCCTCATAGCCTACAGTCGTCGATCCGGCGTCATGTGTCCCGAAGCCAACGCCAACTATTCGGATCCTGTGGCAGCGTCCAGCTCTTACAGCGCCGGCGGAGGCGTTGGCTCCAACAGTAGCGTGAACAACAACGGAGGCGGAGGCTGTGGTAACAGCAGCAATAACAACAGCGTCAATTTCACTGCTCTGGATGGTCCAGTTCTCGATGCCGGTGTTTATCCTCCGCCTGCTTACGTCAGAATGCCTCCCGGACATTTGACGCAGGGCTATCCACCTCTTCAGGCCACCTCGTCTGCGATTGTACAGACCTCGACTCAATCTCATTCAATCTACTCCCAGCCGGCTCCTTCCACCTCGTGTCCGCCCCAACACTCTCAGGCCCATCTGACCACTGGACAGCTTCATCCACAGCATCAACACCAACATCATCTGCACCATCAACAACAGATGATGGTCTCCTGCGATGGACTGGTCAACAGCTCGCAGATGTCGATGTTTTCCAATTCGGTCTCAGAAAACATGGCTCTGTTCGCCAATGGTCAAACCGGCCCACCCGTCCGCCTCGTGCCCTCCTCTCAGCACCGTCACGCATCCAGCACCAACAATGCAGGCGGCGTCGCTTCTTACCCGGCCTCCGGTCTGGGCCCCGAATTCCCCACCGCCGGACTTGGACCCAGGTGTTATCCATTGCCATCGGAATCCGGCTGGCAAACAGGCGGGGACTTTTATCCCAGCCGAGGACACGCCAGACTGGGCTCGGCTCAACCACCATTTCAGCATCACACCGCCTCATTGTCTGCCTCCGTGACGGCTCCACCGGCTACCGCCAATCTGCCCAGTTTGAGTGGGGCAACGAGGGCTCCGCGATCTCCACTTTCGCTACCGCCCGATCCCACGACCTACTCTGGCCAGACGTCGATCTCACAAGCGCAAGCACAAGCACAAGCACAAGCACAGGCACAATCACATCAGCAACACCTCCAGCTCCACTCCACTCTGC